GGGGGAGAGACAAAGGGAGGTGGAATGCTGCTCTGGCTGGGGGCAGGGCTTGGAGAGGGGGAGTTAGTTCCTGGCTGGAAAGCAGGAGAGAAGGAACTGGGGAGGGGGCTGGGATTCCCCTATCTCAAGGGGGGCACTGAGGCCTCTTAGCCCCCAGTTCCTGTAACTAGATTACATCTGTACTGTTCTGTATCGTGGATAAGCAATAAACCACCTGTATTCTACTGGCTGGTGAAGTCTGTTCGTGCCATTCCGGGGCTGCAGGAGACTGGGGAACCTCAACTCGCCATCACAACCTACTTTATGCATTTCCACCCACACCCCTGATTCCCAGGGTAGTGGAGAAGATTATTCGAGAAAGGGCCACAGTAATCCTGATAGCCCCATCCTGGCCCAGGCAAACGTGGTATCCATACCTCCATCGCATGTCGATACATCCTCCGTGTCCTCTGCCAATTCGGCACGATCTGCTCTTGTAAAATCACCTCTCCCTTCTCCATCCGAAGGGGGACCATCTCGCACTCATGGCATGGTACCTAGTTGGTTCCAATAGTCAGAAGTATTATGCTCACAATCTGTGAAGCACATTTTACTAAACAGTAAAAAAATTATCTACGCGAACTACTTACCTTTCAAAATGGTCACGCTTCTCGTCATGGTGTTTCCAAAAGGATCTGAATCCAGTCTCTACACCTCTGCAGTGTATCCTGGACTACCTCATACACCTCAAAAATTCGGGCCTTACCTGTGCTTCCATTAGAGTCCATGTCGCTGCAATAGCAGCCTTTCATCAGCCTGTCGACGAATGTTCCATTTTTTCCCACCTGACAACGAAGAGGTTCTTCAAGGGAATGTCCAACTTGTATCCACATTATACTCAACCGGCGGATCCTTGGGACCTTGAAATGGTCCTGAATTCCCTGACGGGCAAACCCTTCGAACCGCTAGCAACATGCAATCTATATGACCTGTCCATGAAGGTCATTTTCTTGTTGGCTATTACTTCCGCGAGGAGAGTGAGTGAGCTAGCTGCACTATCAGTCTCTCCTCCTTATACGATTTTTACACACCAAGCGGTGATATTGCGAACGCAACCACGTTTTTGTCCCAAAGTGATCTCTCGTTTTCACATCAACGAACCTATAATTCTTCCTATATTCCATCCCAAACCACACGCTTCACCAGAACATGCGCGCTTGCACACTTTGGACGTCAGACGAGCTCTCACCTTTTCTATTTAGAGAACCAGACCCTTTCGAGTGGCGGACTCGCTACTAATATCAATGGCGGACCGTTCTAAAGGTAGCTCATTGTCCGCTCAACGCATCTCCTCCATTATTGTACAGTGCATAAGAACTTGTTATAAACTGCGAAAGAAACCACTGCCTTCGACCCTGAGGGCCCATTCGACTCGGGCTTTCGCTACGTTCACTGCATTCCTCAAGGGAGTTCCCTTGATAGATATCTGTAGAGCTGCTACGTGGTCTTCCAACCTAACCTTCGCTACACATTATGCCTTCCCTAATCTCTTAATACCTGATTCGGCGGTGGCGGCAGCGGTGTTATCCTCAGCTATGGCATGCTAGATCTGAACCCTCCTCCATTCGCGAGCTACTGCTGTACATTCACCTACAGTGGAGCACCCACGGGACACTGCTCGAAGAAGAAAAAGAAGTTACTCACCTTGTGCAGTAATGATTGTTCTTCTTGATGCGTGTCCCGTGGTTGCTCCACGACCCGCCCTCCTCCCCTCTTCGGAGTTTTCTATACTTTGTGTCTTTCAGAGCAAGAGGCAGGAGGAACTGGCGGGAGTCGGACCATCAACGCTCGTACTTCGCGCATGCGTGGTCCAGCAGACTACGGCTAGAAAAGATCTCCGATCTGAGGTGCCAGGACAAGCCCGACACCTACAGTGGAGCACCCATGGGACACGCATCTCAAAGAACAATCGTTACTGCACAAGGTGAGTAACTTCTTTTTATTTTGTATGTATAATCATCCTTATTTTCAGAACATGTTCTTTTGTACATTTTAAGTATTCTGATGTACATACATGCATTCATATTTGAAAAGTACATCAGTGTATGCTTGCGCATTGAAACATGACTGTATATCAGATGAGGCTTTATTGTTACCTCTGTCTGAAGTTGAAATGTTGTTTTATGGGACAGGTCTTTGTGTTTACTCTGTATGAGTAGGCACCTAGTGTGCATTTAGTAAGCATTATAACAACAGTAATTTTCATCCCTCTCTGATTCCCTCCAAATCTTTTTTTGCCAAACACTTCCTAATCTCCTGCCTCTGTATTGCTCTCCTTGCCTTGTTAGCCCTCTATCCTCCACACACACTCCTTCTGTTTCTGTCACAGTCCTTTTCCAGCTCACATTTTCCATCTTGCACTCAATCTGTTGCCTCTCCACAGTTTCTCTCCATGCTTCTTCAAATTTGACTTCTCCCAGACCTGCCAGAAGCACTAAAAAGGTAAAAATAGGGCAACTGGTTAGTTATCTTGCATGCCTGTATACAAACACAGGAAGCCTGGGAAACAAACAGGAAGAATTGGAAGACCTGGCATAGTCAAGGAACTATAATCTGATTAGAGACTTGGTAGTGTAATTCATATAACTGGAGCACTGTCATGGATGAATATTAGCTGTACTGGAAGGACAAGTGGAGGGAATCTGTGGAGGAGTTGCATTGTATGTAAGAGAGCAGTATGATTGCTCAGAGAACTGTATGAAACTGGAGGAACACCTGTTCAGTCATTGGGTTAACATTGGAGATATGAGCAGCAAGGATGATGTTCTGGTGGATAACTGCTATAGATCCCCAACCAGAAGAATGAGGTAAATGAGGCTTTTTTTGTAAAACAGAAGTCTCTAGATCACAGGCCCTGGTTTTCCTGGTTTTCAATCACTCTGACATTTGCTGGGAAAGCAGTACAGCAATGCAAAAAATCAAGGATGCTTTTGGAGAGAGTTTGGGACAACTTCCTAGTGCAAGTGCCTGAAGAATGAAGTAGGAATCATACTCCTTCTTTATCTGCTGTTCACAAACAGGGAAGAATTGGTAGGGAAGTAGAGGTAGGTGGCAACCTGGGCAGGAATGACCATGAAATGGTCACGTTCAGGATCTTGACAAAGGGAAGAAAGGAGAGCAGCAGTATATGAATCCCGGATGTCAGAAAAGCAGATTTTCACTCCCTCAGGAAATGAATGGGCAAGATCCCCTGGGAGATAAATATAAGGGGGGGAAAAGGGTTCCGGAGAGCAGGCTGTAGTTTTAAGAAGCCTTATTGAGGACATGGGAACAAACTGTTCCAATGTGCAGAAAGAATAGCAAATATGGCAGGCAACCAGCTTGGCTTAAAAGAGAAATCTTCAGTGAGCTTAAACACAAACAAGAAGCTTATAAGAAGTGGATACTTGGACAAATGACTAAGGAGGATTATATGCTCAAGCGTTATCTTTTAATCAGTTGCACTTTGGCCTTCCCAAAGTTATAGCTAGTAAAGGATATGAAGGATAACAAGAAGGGTTTCTATGGGTATGTTTTCTGCAAGAAGAAGATCAGAGAGAATGTGGATTCTTTGGGAATGGGGAAAACAACCTAGGGTATGTCTACACTACAGCGCTAATTCGAACTAAGCTAATTCAAACTAACGCGTCTAGAACTAAAAACTAGTTCGAATTAGCGTTTTGCTAATTCAAACTAGCATGTCCACATTAAGTGGACCCTGAACAGGGCTTAAGGATGGCCGGAAGCAGTGCCGGCAGGGCATCAGAGGAGGACTTAGAGCGTGGAGATGCTGTCTCAGGCTAGCCGAGGGCTGTGCTTAAAGGGACCCGACCCCCACCCCGGACAGACAATTCTCAGGGGTGCCCCGCTTGAAAACCAGTCCTGGCTTGGAGTGCCCGGAGTGCCCACACTGGGCACAACACACCACGCGGCCATCAGCCCAGCTGCACTTGCCGCTGGCTGCCATCTGGGGAGAGGGGGCAATTGGGGGGGCTGCAGGAGAGCTTCCACCCCCAGAAGTCCGCAGAGCCAGCCCAGTCCTCCCCATCAGGGGCTCGTGCCCCATTCCTCCCTCACCTCCTTCCACTTACCCTCCCCTAGCCCCTCTTCTTGATGTACAAAATAAAGAACAATTGTGTTCAAAAATGGAATCTGTCTTTATTGAACAAAACTGGGGGAGACGGGGAAAAGGAGGTGGGAGAGGGGAAGAGAGAGGCTGGGAGAGGGGAGGGCAACTAAAATGATCAGGGGTTGGGAACAGGTCCCATATGAAGAGAGGCTAAAGAGACTGGGACTTTTCAGCTTAGAAAAGAGGAGACGAGGGGGGACAGGATAGAGGTCTCTAAAAGCAGGAGTTGGGTGGAGAGGGTGCATACAGAAAAGTTCTTCATTAGTTCCCATAAAGAAGGACTAGAGGACACCAAAGGAAGGAATGGGTAGCAGGCTTCAAACTAGTAACAGAAAGTTGTTCTTCACAAAGCAAAGAGTCAACCTGTGGAACTCCTTGCTGCAGGAGGCTGTGAAGGCTAGAACTAGAACAGAGTTTAAAGGGAAGTGAGATCAAGTGATGGAGGTTGGGTCCATAGAGTGGTAGTAGCCAGGGGGTAGGAGTGGTGTCCCTGCCCAAAGTTTGTGGAAGGCTGGAGAGGGATGGCACGAGACAAATGGCTTGGTTACTGTCTCCGGTCCATCCCCTCCAGGGTCTTTAGGGTTGGCCGCTGTCGGCAGACAGGCTACTGGGCTAGATGGACCTTTGGTCTGACCCAGGATGGCCATTGTAAGCTCAGGGCTCAGGATCGGGGGTCTCAGTGGACCCCCTTGATTTTCATGCACACCTGCTCCTGGGTGGCCAGGCTGGCAGCTCTCCTGCCCAAGCCGGCCACCTTCCTGTGCTTAGTGCGGAGATCGTGGACAAGGTCCGCGATGTCCGCACTAGCCCAGGCGGGTGCCAGCCTCTTGCGGTCCCGGGCAAGCTCCCGGGAGCCGCCAGCCTGGTCCCGGGAAGAGGGGAAGGGCTGGGGGGCATCGGGTGGGTGGCTCGATCCGTGCCAGGTGCAGGGTCTGCTGGCTGGGTGCTGGCAGGCTTGCACCTGGCACGGGCACCGTAGCCAGCCCGTGCCCCTTTAAGGAGTCCGGGGCCGGGAGGGGGGCATAGAGTTTCCCTGGTGTTGGCCAGAGTGGCCACCAGTGAAACCTGGGAAGCCTTAGCCTCCCACTAGTTCGAATTAAGGGTCTACACAGACCTTAGTTAGAACTAGCTAGTTCGAACTAGGCTTAATCCTCGTAAAATGAGGTTTTCCTAGTTCGAACTAAGCGCTCCGCTAGTTCGAATTAAATTTGAACTAGCGGAGCGCTAGTGTAGCGCCTATTAAAGTTAGTTTGAACTAACGTCTGTTAGTTCGAACTAACTTTGTAGTGTAGACATACCCCTAGTGACGATGATGTGGAATAAAGCTAAAGTACTCATTGCTTTTTTGCAGCATGTTGGAAGATGACGGAACAAGGAGCAGTGGTCTTAAGTTGCAGTGCTGGGAGACTGGATATTAGGAAAAGATATTTCACTAGTATGGTGATGGAGCACTGGAATGGGTTAACTAGAGAGGTGGTGGAATCTCCATCCTTAGAGATTTTTAAGGCCAGGCTTACAAAGTCCTGGTTGGAATGCTTTAGTTGGGATTGGTCCTGCTTTGAGTGGGGGAGGGAGGGAGGTTGAACTAGATGACCTTCTGAGGTCTTAAACCCTAATCTTCTATGATTCATACCACAACTCACTCTTTCGACCCATATTCTTTCTGGGTGGTGAAAGCCAGTGAGAGATCAAACATACACCTTGTAATGTTAGACATTGACAAATAAAATGTGTCATCTTCTATTTATTTTTAGTTTACCATTTTTCATTCTTTACATCCATCATTACCCACAGGTCCATACTGAACTGAAGTGACAAGACACACATTTAGATAATTTTAATGTAGCATTTCAAATAAAGTTGAATCACTCACATAATGGATCAGCTAGTCTTAGCATCTGCCATTACTCTATAGTATAAAATGAGCCTCACCACACTTGTTTTCTACCCCACATGCAGCAATGTTTCATTGAATTTTTCTCTCACATCCCTGTGCCCTTAATTTAGTCTAGAATAATGCCATAATAATTTAAAAAGTTTTTTAGACTCCCAGGTTTGTCCCAGGCCTTCCAAAAGAGATTTATGAATTTTGACTTATTTCCTAAAATTGTAGGAAATTATACCATAAATATGAGCCTCGAAAATATCGTACATGAATTTTCTATTTATACTTGATTTGCGGAAATGACCATTCGTGCCTGATTCCATTTTACTTGCTTTCAGGTAACATTGCTTTCCTTCCTAATTGAAACAGAAGTTTCATTCCTTGACTATATTAAAGGCGGGTAAGTGATCCCTGCATGCTTTTCTTTTCCTATTTTTTGTTTTGATTCACAAATAACTGTTTTGCTGTCTTGCTATGTGATAGCCCTAAATATCCATGAGAATTGCATTACAGGCAGTCCCCGGGTTAAGTACAAGATAGGGACTGTAGGTTTGTTCTTAAGTTGAATCTGTATGTAAGTCTGAGCTGCCATCAGCCACTGCTGAAACTGATCAGTTTCAACCGCGGCTGAATCTGGACGCCAGTTCTGACTTACATACAGATTTAACTTAAGAAACCCAGGCGTCCCCAAGTCAGCTGCTGCTGAAACTGATCAGCGGCTGACTTGGGGACGCCTGGGGCAGAGCAGCTGGGGTGCTGCTGGGTTGCTCCAGTAGCGCGGCTCCTCGGCGCTACTGGAGCAACCCAGCAG